ACAATTAACCAACTTCTTTGCCTGCTGATCTTTCCATGCTGAAACCTGCAGACGAAACCAGGGTGACCTTCATCTTTCTACCATATTATAAAACAACAGGTAAGGTAAGGCTCCAGAACAACTTTGCACATACTGTGGATGCTATAGCAGGGCAGGGATTTTTCTTTGTGAGGGCAGGTCTGAATAGGTTACACCCCAAACTTTTGACTTGTAAAGACAAAGAAACCTGTGGTTTTGTTTACTGCGGTTGACTGCAGCAATGCTGCTTTTTATGTCAACATACATTTTAGTAAATGTTAGCTTGTACTCTGTAGAGATGGGCTGTTTGCAGTAACCTTGGGAGTACTGCTCTTATCTTATATTTACACAACAAGTGCAAAGAAATGAGATTAGGTTTTTTTCCACAATGTTTAAAATGCTTTTTTTTTTCCTCCTCTCTTGAACAAGGGCTGAACTTTAAACATTTCAAACACATACAGCCCCACTTGGAAGATGTACAGTTAACACAGAACTAATCATTTGCTGGCAGGGCTCTCCTGATCAGAGTATACTTGTATTACCATGACTATACTGTGTATTTCAGGTCAAGTGCAATGGTTGTCTGAGACTGCAGCAAGGCAAATGGAAAGTAGAGTCACAAAACTGAGGTGGACTAGGATTTCAGACAGGATGGACAGACACGTACTGTGGCATCCCTCTGGAGACAGGGGAGGACTCTCGTAAGGAACCAGGCTTATCACAAGCATTTTGATGGACAGGATTGATAGAAAACTAATTCAGCATATGCTGTACTGTCCCCAAAGGAAGGAAGTTTTGTTTCTATAGCCCGTTTATTTCATCCACATGATTCTGAGGCTTCTGCTTTACAAAATTTACCCTGTGCCCTCTCACCAGACATTATTTTAAAATGTCACGTATTAAACCCTACAAAGGAGTGCTGTGTCCAGCCTTGCTGGGCTTACTGTATGCATGTCCTTAAATGTATTATTCAACCTCTCCATGCCACAGTTTCATCCATGCCTGAGACAACAGCACCTCCCAGGTAGACTCTGAAGTTTCATTTGTTTCTCTGTGCCAAAACAGCAGACTAAGCCCCACTGC